GGATGACACAGAGCTCTGGAGGCTGCATTCCTTCCGGCCTCCCCCCTTCGCCTCCGGGAGCTGCCCAGCCTGCTTTACTCCTTGACTTTGCTTTGAGGGCTCTGGAGATTTGTTTACCCCTCACTTGCTCCTTCCTTCCCTCCTTCCTCTTTCCCTCTCAGCTTTCTGAGAGCCTAGAGAAAAGAAGGATGGGGGGGGGCACGGTAGCAGTGTTTCATTATTTGAGGGGCTGCCACAAAGAGGACGGGGTCCACCTCTTCTCCAAAGCACCTAGAGAAGCAACGGATGGCAACTAATCAAGGAGAGAAACAACCTGGAATTAAGGAGACACTTCCTGACAGGGAGGACAATTAACCAGTGGAACAACCTGCCTCCAGAAATTGTGGGTGCTCCATCACTGGAGGTTTTTAAGAAGAGGTTGGACAGCCATTTGTCTGAAAGGGTATAGGGTCCCCTGCTTGAACAGAAGGTTGGATTAGAAGATCTCCAAGTCCTTTCCAGTTCTATTCAGATAGATAGATAGATAGATAGATAGATAGATAGATAGATAGATAGATAGATAGATAGATAGATAGATAGATAGATAGATAGGTAGGTAGGTAGGTAGGTAGGTAGGTAGGTAGGTAGGTAGGTAGGTAGGTAGTAGATAGATAGATAGATAGATAGATAGATAGATAGATAGATAGATAAATAGATAGATAACATAGATATATACATAGTTAGACAGATAAATAGTTGATAGATAAATAGATGAAAGATAGATAGATGAATAGATGATAGATAGATAGATGAATAGATAGATAGACAGACAGATGAATAGTCAATAGATATATAGATAGATATATGAATAGATGATAGATAGATAGATAGATAGATAGATAGATAGATAGATAGATAGATAGATAGATAGATAGATAGATAGATAGATAGACAGCCAGCCAGCCAGCCAGCCAGATAGATAGATAGATAGATAGATAGATGAATAGAAGATAGATAGATAGATAGATACATAGATAGATAGATAGATAGATAGATAGATAAGTAGCTAGATAGACAGATGAATAGTCGATAGATAGATGAATGAAAGATAGATAGATGAATAGATAGATAAATAGACAGATGAATAGTCAATAGATATATAGATAGATGAATAGATGATAGACAGATGAATAGAAGATAGATAGATAGATAGATAGATAGATAGATAGATAGATAGATAGATAGATAGATAGATAGATAGATAGATAGATAGATAGATAGATAGATAGATAGATATGATGAACGGTTGCAGGAATTAGGTATGGCCAGTCTAGAGAAAAAAAAGACAAATGTGTAGTGAATGTAGTCTGGATTACCAGGAGGGAGAGGCTGCATTCCAGAAAGCAAAGAGGCAGCAGATAGTTTGGTCAGGAGGAAGAGAGTTAAGACAGTTCCTCCCTAGAGATGCTCAGAGTATTATCTATAATATGCAAATAGTTAGTATGGCGAGATTCTGTCTGTAAGTGGGGAACCATAAAGGAAATTACTTGGAAGTAACTAGATGTATATTTAGGGAGATTCTCAGTCATCCAGGTCATAGTTGTGCCAAAGGTGCTTTTTCAAGAGGCAACTGGACTTTCTTTGTTTTTCTTTGAAGAGGTTTCCAAGAAGCTTCTTCAGCTCTGAGTGGATGGTGGAGAATGGAAGTATTTATACTCCTTGCAGACAGCTGGTCGTTTGCATTCCTTTTAGAGGGTCATTGAGGCCACTTGGAGGTTTACCTGTGTCCTCAGGGTCTCCTGAGTGGTGGAAATGGGTGTTCTTGGCTGCAGGATATTTTCTGTCCTGCATCCCTTCACTGTTGCCCACCCTCCAGTCAGAACTGAAGAAGCTTCTTGGATGAGAAGCAAAACATCTTCAAAGAAAAACAAGAAAGTCCAGTTGCCTCGTGGAAAAGCATCTTTGAGATAACTCGATGTATCTTTCTTGGTTCCTGGGAGACCTGACATCTGCCAACTTTAGAGCAGAAGGCTTACCATGTCACGGGATTGGCTTTGTGCAAGGGAGGGCAATGCCCCCACTTTCACAGGCACATCCCACCCTACTGTGGGCTGGGAACAGCCAAGCCTTCTCCTGCAAAACATCTCTTCCCCCCCCCCTTTCTGAGAAGGTGGATGTCATGCATTTTTTCTCCCCCCATTGGTTGTGCTATTATTATTATTATTATTATTATTATTATTATTATTATTATTGATCATCGCACAGTCAGCCAGATGTTTAGACTGGATTTGGCATTTTGTCTACCTATCGAGTCCTTACCAAGGACCTGGGATAGGCAGATGTGGATGTTTGATGGTATATTATTATTATTATTATTATTATTATTATTATTATTATTATTATTATTATTATTATTATTATTATTTAGACGTGAACCTCAGTCAACTGAACATTCAAATTGGCTGGCGCTGATGGTTGACACGGGTTGCTATCAGCATCCTAGGTGTCAACCAGGTATCTCCTTAAAATGTGAGATGTTCTGAGTAGCGCAGTTTTTTGTAGCATTGCTGGAGTTATTGCAGGAAGCTGCAGTTTCTTGATGTGTTTTGCAAAGTTTTTGGACATAGTTCCCAGTGCCCCGATGACAATGGGCACCACTGTTACACGTTTCATCCTCAATCGCGCAGTCTCGATGGCCAGGTCGCGATATTTCGTCATTTTTTCCAGTTCTTTTTCTTCAACTCTGGCATTTCCTGGTACAGCGATATCAAGCAGCTATACGCTTCGGTTCTCTACAACTGCGATATCTGGCATATTGTGTATTATTATTATTATTATTATTATTATTATTATTATTATTATTATTATTATTATTATTATTATTATTATTATTATTATTATTAATCATCGCACAGTCAGCCAGATGTTCAGACTAGATTTGACATTTCTCTCTACCTATCGAGTCCTTCCCAAGGACCTGGGATAGGCAGATGTGGATGTTTGATGGTATTACAGATCTCGTCGCAGGATGGAAGCAGTTTCTAGTAAAACCGCCTTTTGCAATTGACTAATTGCGAATTTGTCAATGCCGATGATGGTGTCCAAGTGGTGCTCCAGTTGTTTTGGGATTATTATTATTACTATTACTATTACTATTACTATTACTATTACTATTACTACTGTCATTATTATTTTGTTGCTTTGCGCATACACTGAGAGCTACTGTGCTGGAGACATATTCGTGTGTCTAATCATACTTGGCCAAATAAAGTATTCAATTCAATTCAATTCAATGACCGCGGGTGGGGCTCATTGGCCTCAAGATGGCGCCACTTACGGCAACCTCAGTGAAATGCTCTCTAGCGTTCCAGTATTTGAAGTTCTTTTTTATTTTCTGTAACTCACTGCAGAATATACATACATCAGAAATGAGCTTCTAAATATCAGGGGGCTTTCCAGGAATATTTCTCCTCCTAGAGGACTTCTAGAGTTGGTTTCCCTTTGTCTCCTGTCTCATCTTGTCTCTCTCTCTCTCTGGCTGCTGCAGATGTTTGCCAGCTGCCCTCCATCTGTGGCATCTGTAAGGCGATGTTCCCACGCTTCTTCTTCAATGTTTCCACTCTCAAATGTGAGGGATTCATCTATGGCGGCTGCGGCGGCAACAAGAACAATTTTGAATCTGAAAGTCAGTGTCTCAGAACCTGTAGGTCGACCAAGGGTGAGTACTAACCTCTCGCCAGCCGAAAGCAAATATTAGGAGGCTTCCAAAGGTGGACAGTTGAAGGCCCTTCTCATGGGCCTAGCAGGACACCACGGATGGTCCTCCAGATCTTCTTTGGAGCTACATGGCTCTTCCTTTTGAGGCCACCTCTCAGTTGGCGATGATATGGATGATTCGAAATACTTTCAACTTCTGGGAAGTGGCCATCAATCAGGGCCTGCTAATCATAGCACCAACATGGTCTACTAACCATTTTGACTCGTTCCTAGCCCACCGCTCATAGCAGAATAACAGAGTTGGAAGGGACCATCAAGGTCTTCTAGTCCAGTGATGGCGAACCTTTTAGAGACCGAGTGCCCAAACTGCAAACCCAAAACCCACTTATTTATCGCCGGGTGCCAGGTAGGCGTGGCCCACTGGGTGGGCATGGCTGTGGTTATGGCAGACTGGGTGGGTGTGGCCAAGGTGGGCATGGTCACCTCGATGTTGCTTGTGGGGAGGGATGTCTGTGGGGGCCAGGCAGGGTTGGGGGAGATCCAGGGGGTCTCTGGCAGGTGGGGTGGTGGGCAGGAGGCTCGTCCTGCAGGGTGAGGCGAGGCGAGGCGAGGCAGGGCGGGGGTGCCATTGTCGCAGGGCAAGGCGAGGCAGGGGCTGGGGCAGCTGCTGCCTGACACCATCGGCCCCCGCACACAGAGGCCAGCGAGTGCATGGGGGCCAACAGTGTCCACCAGCAGCCATAGCCGGCCGGCCCCTTGACCGGTGCACTCTGGGGCTCGGCAGCCTGCTGCCAGCAGTTCAGAGAAGGCGCCTCTGAGCTGGACAGACGGCCGACAGCTGAGGATGCAGTGGGTCGTGCCCGAGAAAAGGAAAGCATGCGAGGCCAGGAGGGATGGGATGGAGGGGAGGGAGGGAAACCAGCCATGCTGGGATGCATCTGGCCATGTGGGACCTCAGTGAGTTAGCAGGTTGAAGAGGGACGGTTCCCATCTCCAGGGCATGGTGCGCGTGCCCACAGAGAGGGCTCTGAGTGCCGCCTCTGGCATGCGTGCCCTAGGTTCGCCACCACTGTTCTAGTCCAACCCCCTGCTCAAACAGGAGACCCTATACCATTTCAGCCATCTCTTCTTGAAAATCTAGCGTGATGAAGCACTCACAACTTCTAAAGGCAACCTTTTCCATCGATTAATTGTTCTCTCTCTAGAAATTTCTTAGTTCTAGGTTGAATCTCTCCTTGATCAGTTTCCATCCATTGCTTCTTGTCCTGCCCTCAGGTGCTTTGGAGAATACAAATAGGTGGAGCCCCTCTTCTCTGTGACAGCCCCTCAAATATTGAAAATACGGTACCCCTGGTTCTTTGCTTCTTTCCACATTCAAAGTAGTGTCGTCCACCACTGAACTCATTTTTTTGCTGTAGATCAGGGATCTTCAAACTTGGCCCTTTTATGACATGTGGACTTCAGCTCCCAGAATTCCTCAGCCAGCCCTGGCTGGCTGAGGAATTCTGGGAGTTGAAGTCCACAAGTCATAAAAGGGCCACGTTTGAAGACCCCTGCTGTAGATACAGCTTAGTCATTCATTGATCTTGCTAGGATCTGCCCTCCTGGATCATTCTAGTTTGGGGAGACTGGACACTGGTTTCCAAGAAACCTCTGCCTGCATAATGTCTGACCGGTGCTTTCTGAAAGGTTAGTCAGGTTTTACACGAGGTCCTTATAAACGTGTCTTTAGAGCTTTGTGGAAGATCACTAGAATTATTTTTGAAAACAGGACCAGCAATCTTTCCCCCTGTTTGCCTGCGAAGGTTGCTGCTATTCTGCTTCCAAGGACTTCCATGCACTTGTGGGTCTTGACCCACACAACCATCACCGTCCCCAGGGCCTGCGGCCCATCAGTCAGGGTGGGTATGCATGCTGGTCACAAGATCTAAGGCAACCTCTTCAAAGCCTGCATCCTCTTAGTTGAGCAAGTTGGCATGTGTAAAAACATCCCGGGTTCTGAGCAGTGGTTTACACCTGCCCAGTCCACGTGAAAATGGACTGGGGATGACATGACAGCGGTCTTCCAATATTTGAGGGGCTTCCCCAAAGAAGAGGGGGTCAACCTGTTCTCCAAAACACCTGAAGGCAGGACAAGAAGCAACAGATGGAAACTAATCAAGTAGAGAAGCAATCTAGGAGAAATTTCCTAAGAGGGAGAACAATTAACCAGTGGAATGAGTGGCCTCCAGATGTTGTGGGTGCTCCAACACTGGAGGTTTTTCAAGAAGAGATTGGATAACCATCTGTCTGAAATGGTGTAGAGTCTCCTGCTCTTCCAGCTCTGTTATTCTGTTATTCTGCACACCACAAGCAATGCCTGGTGGGAAAGGAAATGGAGCCGGGGCCCTACCTTGACCCATCCTCCATTGAAACAGGAAGGTGACCATCAGTGGGCAGCAGATAAGGCCTTCATCCAAGGCTTAGCACGTTTTGTGCCAATCTCTTCTCTGGTGGCTTGACTGGTGGGAGATCATGAAGACAGTTGTGGCCACAGCAGTCAACACTTGTCCGGTTGAGTGAGTTACATCATGCCAGGCAGGGCTTCTTGGTTGGGTGGCTTGTCCTGGGACAGACTATCTGGTAGCCCTTTCACACTGAGGGGCTGTGGGGCAGCTGCGGAGGCCTGCCTCTCCCTTGCAATTTGCCCCTGAATTGTCCATCCAAGGACACTCAGTTGACACAGATCTTGTTTTATTTAGACCAGGGGTGTCCAACCTGGACAACTGTAAGACCTGTGGACTTCAACTCCCGGAATTCTGGGAATTGAAGTCCACAGGTCTTAAAATTGCCTAGGTTAGAGACCCCTGATTTAGGGTCAAGATTCCTTTTGGAGGTTGGACACAAGGGTGAAGTCCACAAGTTTTAAAGTTGCCAAGATTGCACACCTCTGTTTCAGAGTTTTCGCCCAGTGGGCATCTCCCCTGCTATTTTAAACCTAGGATGCAATGTTCCTGTGTTTCTTGACGACTTTATTGCCAATATCCAGGATAGTCTCCATTGCCCCCATAGTCTGACCCACTCTCCTTCCATTTCCAGGGAGCGCCTAACCGTTGGCAGGAACAGAGATGGCAAAAACCACCAGATTGGACTCCCGGATCAGCTGCTTTCCTGGACCCCCGACTCTGCCGCTGCCGAGATAGGATAAGGATGACGCCTCTGAGTGATTGGAGCTACCTTGCCTGTCCCCCCCCCCGAATGCCCCTCCATACAGTCTGCTTTGTGTGTCTGTGAAGTTGCCTCCAAAGGACACTTTCTCCCAATCCTTGGGCTGGACCCGGTTGGCGTGTTCCTTGGCTATGACCCTCCCCTTAAAGAGTTTCATGTCCCTTTACATGCGTGTTGAGGAAGGTTGGTCCTCCGTTCCCCCCCCACAGATTAGATGAGGGGACTGGCAGTCCTGGGTAACCTGGCCAGAGGGGACTCCCTCTCACTCCCTCTCCCCTTGCCCCCAGGACAGGTCTTGCTTATCGGGCAGTGGGGTCTCTCTCAAGAGAAAGGGGGATAGAGGGGCCCCCAAGCACATGGGGCCCCTTGGCCCTTGGGGACCCGACTTGGCTGCAGCAGGGCCAAAACTTCCACCTTCAGAGCTGGGGGGAGGCAGCCTTGAGTCAGCCCAGACACAAAATGGCCCCATCCTGATTCAGGAAGCCCCAAATCTGGGGAAAGAGGCAGGCAATGGCTGAAGGGAGGGCTGGAAGCCGGAGACCCTCCTGGACACTCACTGCTCAATCTTTCCCAGCCCAATGTGCCTTACAGGGCAGAGGGGTGGAGAAAAGATGGGGGAGGTGTGTGTGTGTGTGTGTGTGTGTGTGTCTGTTTCTGTATCCTGGGGGAGAGTTGGGATAGAAGGCTGATCAATGAATGAACGAACGAACGAACGAACGAACGAACCAACCAACCAACCAACCAACCAACCAACCAACCAACCAACCAACCAATCAATCCAAGCCCAAACTGCTCTGTTTGTACATAATGAAAGACAACATTAAAGACACTGAAACTTTACCAAAGGGTGTGAACCTGGGTGTGGGAGAGTTTTTTTCGTGTTTGGTCAGCTGATGGACAGCTAGCAAGAAGGGGCCAGAGGGACCAGCGTTCAGCAGCCCTGCAGGAGCAGCCCAAGCAGGGGGCAAGGAGGAGGTGGGGGGATAAGGAAGGAGGAAGAGGAGGAGGAGGGGAGGAAGGAGGAGGGAAAAGAAATAATAGCATAAGTGAGATGGAAGGGACCCTGGAGGTCTTCTAGTCCAACCCCAAGCTCAAGCAGGAGACCCTATACCAGGGGTAGTCAACCTTGGCTCTTTTATGACTCGTGGACTTCAACTCCCAGAATTCCTGAGCCAGCCATGCTGTGGTTGCCCAACCATACAAGTGGTTGCCCAGTCTCTTCTTGAAAATCTCCAGTGATGAAGCACCCACAACCTCTGGAGGCCAACTGTTCCACTGGTTAATTGGAGGGGAGGGAGGGAAAAAGAGGAGGAGGAGGAGGAGGAGGAGGAGGAATGCAGAAGAGGGGAGGGAGGAGGAGAAAAAAGGAAGAGGAGGAAGAGGAATGGGGAAGGAGGAGGAGAACATGACATGATAGCAATGTCCCAATATTTGAGGGGCTGTCACAGAAAAGGGGGGGGGGTCCATTCTCCAAAGCTCCAGAAGGCAGGACAAGGAGCAATGGGTGGAAACTCATCAAGGAGAGAAGCAACCAGGAATTAAGGAAAAACTTCCTGATGGTTAGAACAATTAACCAGTGGAACAACCTGCCTCCAGAAGTTGTGAATGCTCCAACACTGGAAGTCTTTAAGAAGAGACTGGACAGCCATTTGTCTGAAATGATGTAGGGTTTCCTGCCTGAGCAGGGGGTTGGACTAGATGACCTCCAAGGTCCCTTCCAACCCTGTTATTCTGTGATTCAGTTATTCTGAGGAGGGGGAAATGGACAGCCAACATTTCTGGGAGATCCTCTCTTGGCCTCTCTTCTTCCACAAGTTCATTAGAAGGTAGCAATTCCTCCCCCCTCCCCACACACACTAATTTGCATCATTGGGAGGAAGTGAGAGAGAAACGTGGCAAAATCTTGCAGTTTGCACCGGGGTTTGTGGCAGAGAAGCCGTGGCTTAGGAGGCTGGGCCTGGACCCCCCTCCCCTCCCTCTTCTTCGATTGTGCCCTGAACCGATCTGGAGAAAGCCCAAGGTCTCTCGACCCTCTGAACATGCTCAGAGAATCCTTGGGTTGGGTGGGGGCACCGGGAGGTCTACAGCCCCGGCCCAGGGCAGGCGCCCTCACAGCAATGGCTGCCAACCTTGGCTTGAAGCCCTCCAGTGAGGGAGGCTGGGGGCAAGAGGGCCAAGGATTCCTCCAGGGGGGTGCAAAGGGAGATCACTGCCGCCCCCCCAAATGGCCAGTCCAAGTCGAGATGGTTACAAGGACGAAGAAAAAAATGAAACGCTGCAGGGGATCTGGGTGAGAGAAAAAGATCTTTTATTGGGGAGGGGCTCATCTCCATCTGAGGGGGGAGCAAGAAGGTGAGCCGGGAGCAGGAACAGCCAGAGGAGCAAAGACCCCTCAGACGGAGGAGGGAGGGGGGGAGGAGGAGGAGCAAGGAGGGAAGGAGAGAGGAGTAGTAGGAAGAGTAATGAGGGAAGGAGGGAGGGAGGACTAAGGAGGGAGG